TACATTCTCCTATACATAAAAGTGAATCACTCTGTCAAACAAAAAGCAGCTTATTCTAAATTGGGTATCCAACCTGCCTAACATTTGGCTTAAATTTCACAGTAAATGTTCAAAATTTTAAGACACATAAAAATGTAGCAGTGATTCATGGCCAGCAAGTTGTCATACTCTTGATGAACGCTAAAGGTACAAACCTGGTAGGCAGACACAGGAGATGCAATATAGGGTGTGATAGAAGTTTGAGTGATCATTCGGTTTGTAGCAATACTGTATGGTGAAGGGTAAAATCTAGAACAAACACAAAAGCCTTTATTGAGTAATCCTTTCAACAGATTAATTCACAGAACAAATATCTGATATTTCCCACCTCCACATTTTCCCTCAAGCTATTATATATTTATCTTAATGACATACCCATTCTGTATAGCAGCTGTGGCTGGATCATAAGTAAGTGTCATTCCAGCCTATGGGAAAGAAAAGGAAATAGCAACATTCATCTACAAAGGCATGATTTACAAAGTTTGTGTCTTAAAGTCACAGCAACACAAAACAGTGATAGGTTAGTAGAATCTGACAAAATAAGGAGTTTGTTAGACAAAGGTAATTATAAATTCAGTATGAGAATTAAGCTGTAGTTGGCACTGTCTCCTATGGTAGTCATTAGTCACTTACAGTTATTTAAAATTAAATGAAAAATGGAGTCTCTCCAGCATACTAGCTGTATTTCAAGTGCTCAAACAGCCACATGTGGCTAAGTGGTTATTGCTGGACAGTGCAGACTCTAGGACATTTCTATGCATGGCACTTCTCTAGACATTCTCAAACCAGCATGTTACTTAAAAAAAAATTTTGAAGAAACTAAATATGGGGAAATGGACATCCAAGGATTTTATTAAAAAATTGAGTTTTAATTATTCAAAAGAATTAAGGAAAAATCTCAATATACTATGATTTTAATAATGATATTCAGGATAACTTCTGCATAATTACAATGAAAACTCTAAGAAACTATGACATTAAAAAAAACTTGTGCATTTCAAATAGCAATTTAAGATGCTCTTTTACTTTAAAAGTAATAAACCAGTAAACATAGCTATTCCCACCATCTATTTGTCCATCTGGCGAATCACCACTGTCTTAGCACCACCACATCCACTGGGAAGATATTTAATGTGACATTATATGGATTTATAAATTAATTCGGGCACCTATTTCAGAGGGGTAGTGTCCAAGTCAAGATGCTGCTTACGTAATTATCCATGTAGGCTGTCATAATTATACATCCACACTAAAGTCAAGAGAGGACTTACAAGTCTCACCTCTCCTTCTCTATGCCATGGTCTTCCATTAGGGATGTATTTGTTTGGGTTCTGTCTCTTCTTCTGTCCTCCATCCGCAAACTTACACAATAAAGGTTCTGTAGGAGCTGAATAAACAGAGGGGAATAATATGAAGCCAAAGTTCTAAGTGTGGGCAGATAACAAAAGCAATTTAATTTCTTAATAGGAACAGCGCTAGTGCTGTAAGAAACTGACAGAACACTTGAATGCAAAAGTTCACTCAGACCCTTACAAGGTTATACACTGGTGAAAAACAGAGTACAGAAAATAGAATCACTGTTATTTTCAAATCAGAATGTAATGAAAACATGTACAGAATTATTCAGAGGAAGCAAAGTTGCCTTTGATTCACTTCTGCACTTCTTTAGGTGTAGACA